GAAAAAAATACATCCTTTCGAGAAGAGCTATGCAAAATGTTTGGAGACGGTGGGTATCTCGTACTCCACATTGCGATCTCTACTACTCTGCCATCACTGAGGACGACAGGGGATAACATCCACTGATGTTGTAGATGTTATTCCCCGTCGTTATCGTTTATTGTTATTCCATGTGTTCAAAAAGAGTTGATTCAATAATTTTCCAGCGGAAATGCAATATATAGGTCCTTCGAAACGTACTTAAATGTTTATTAGCACATCCTTCACGTTTACTTATTCAATGTTACGGATGACTTGTTGACGAATTTTATTTCCATTTGCTTGAACACATATCTCTTGATTTGCCGAAAAATGCCGAACACTGAGGCGAGTAGAGTGGAGGCGAGTACCACCATCACAACTAAATAGTGTACAATTAGTTCCGAGTAAAACAGTTTCCTCATATTTTTTGTATGGAAAACGTTGTCACTGACAAAAGGACTCACAAACACGGCCGATGTCGTCTGCCCGAACAGGAAGAGTACTCATCCTTTCCAAAAATAATCGCTCATCACACAGATTCACCAAGTAGATTAGAGAATACGTTAATGCCGCTATTAGTACTAATGAGAGGATCTCCTACAATAAGAAGTAAATGGTAAGATGTATTAATGAAATGAAGCGTTGCCTCGGATCCAATATGAGGCCTTTCCCATTCTTTAAGCGCCTTCAATGTCCGACCACTTCGAGCGTATTTTTCCTGGCAGATTTCGCACTGGTCCTTATTAGACATCGCCACCCACCGGGACAAGCACCTTTCATGAATGTCTCCCATCTGCATCCACCATTTGTGGCTCAAAAATCATAATGAAACTTTAACAATATACCGTTCCGGCACAGGCGCACGGTCGCACCATTTCACCGCTTTCTGACTGACATATACGGCATGCCCTTCTTTCGACTGATGATGAATTTTCACTGTCTGATACGCATCTCAATGGAATGTGATTAACACAGAGAACCTCCACTTTATAGACATTTTTTTCAAGTTAGTCTCCTTCCCTCACCTTGTTTTCTGGCTCATAATGGGTAAAGCAGTACATGCTGTTCTCTCAGAGGCGCAGTGAGTATCTATAGTGGGTGAGTATTGCGTCACGGAGCAAATCATTGAGGGCGACATGCGAGTTGACGCTAAAATCGAACTGGAAGCATCAGACTCTTATCAGTGGCTCACTCTGTCTATTATTTTATAGGTATCTCTTCCCAAAAATTAGCACTGAATGATTTGGAGAGAGCGCGGACCTAGACACATAGTCTGTTTCCAAAATCTGGCCCTTGGGTGCTATATTGTCCATAGCCAACGCAAAAA